CCCAGGAGGCTGCCTGTTCTGTGTGCCCTGAAGTGGCCTTCCTGGGAGAGAGGACCATCAGTGAGGCGGTGCTGTGTTTGTCCCCCAAGGTGAGGCTCTGGTTTTGTGATCACATCAGGCACTTGCATGTTCCTTTTCAGTGGAAGGTTTTAAGAAATACTTAGAGATGATAGAGGCTGCCCCATGTTTGGAGAGTCCTATCTTCATTATTATTAGTTCCTCTAATTCTCTTGTTACCTATTAACTGGATCATAAGATACTACTTCCTGTTTGGTGTTATCAGGAGATGAGAACTCTACAGAGCAAACAGGAATCAAATAGGAACCAAGAAATCTTAATTGGCGGGGTGGTTTCCCAAGGCTTCGCCTTTCCCTCCTCAGAGTCGGCTTTTGAAACATTTAAAAATGGAAATTGCAAAGTGCTTATCATTCAATAAGTAAGAAGTATGAAGCTATATATCCAATTTTAAAATAAATTTTAGAAAGGATACAGACAAGAGTGCCAAGACAATTCAGTGGGGGAAAGAATAGTCTTTTCAACAAGTAGTGCTGGGACAGCTGGACATCGACATGCAAAGGAGTGAGCTTGGACCCCTTCCTCACACCATATGCAAAAATTAAGTCAAAATGGATTGTACACCTCAATGTCAGAGCTAAAACTATAAAACTCTTAAAACACAGGATTAATCTGTGATTTGGGGTTAGGTAAAGCCTTCTTAGCTAAGTGCACGAAAAGTGCACATAGCCAAAGGAAATATAGATAAATTGGACTTCATCAAAATTAAAAACTTTAGTGCCGCAAACAGTACCATCAAGAAAGTAGAAAGACAACCGGTAGAGTCTGCAAATCATATGTCTAAGGGTCTTGTACCTAGAATATATAAAGAACTCTTGCAACTCAATAGTAAATGATAAATAACTCAAGTAAGAAATGGACAAAGGATCTGGATAGATATTTCTCCAAAGAAGATACACAAATGGCCAATAAGCATATGAAAAGATATTCAAGGTCATTAGCCATCAGGGAGATGCAAGTCAAAACCATAATGAGAGACTACTTCCAAACCACTCTGATGGCTAGAAAGAAAAAGACATGATAACAAGTACTAGTGAGGATGTGGGGAAACTGGCACCCTTGTTCAGCGGTACTGTAAAATGATGCAGCTGCTGTGGAAAACAGTTTGGTAGTTCCTCAAAAATGTTAAACAGATCTGTATGATCCACAGTTCCACTCTTACGTCTATGTCTGAGAGAAATGAAAACGTAGGTCCACACAAAAACTTGTGCACAACTGTCCATAGCAGGGTTATTCCAGTAGCCAGAAGTGGAAAACAACTGAAATACCCATCAGGTGGAGAAAGGGTGAAGCGTGGTACATGCACATGGTAGAGAATACTATTCTACAATGAAAAGGAGTGATGTGCGGACACACGCTGCAGCGTGGATCACCTTCACAACATCATGCTTAGTCAAAGAAGTCAGTCACAAAAGACCACATATTGTATGATTCCGTTTATACGAAATGTCCAAAGTAGGCAAATTCATTGGGACCAGTTAGTGGTGGGTTGCCTCTGGCTGTGGGGATGGAGTTGGGAGTGACTGCTAATGGGTACAGGGTTTCTTTGGAGGTAATGAAGATACTCTAAAATTGTGATGATAGCTTCATAACTCTGAATATACCAAAACCCACCAATTATGCTCTTTAAATAGGTGAATTGTATGGTATGTGAATTATATCTCAGTAAATCTGTTTTTAAAAAAGGATACAAAACCACATTAGCTTTTTTTAAGTTCTGTACTCTTGGAAGTGTATATATACATTGAAAAAGACTGAAAGGAAATATAGTTTAAGTGTTTTAAATTATTGTATCTGAACAGGGAGATTATGGTTGTTTTCTGCAATAAATATACTTGTTTTTATAATTGGCAAAGCAGCTAATGGCGGGGAGTGTGTGCCTTCCGCTGTGCCTTCTCCTTTGTGAAACCCTCATGGCACCAGATTATGGGTGACCAGACCTTAGCAGCAAAGCCACTAAGCTCTCTTTGTCCCCAAAAAGCTGGGCTGATCTCCTGGCTATTTGTAATAGAAAAGTTATGCTACAAAACTAAGTAAATCTGTACTACTTTATTTTTGTAGTTTAGTTTTTGATAAAATATCTCCCAAGAGCTACTCAGACACCTGTGATAGCCCTGCTTTGGCTTCAGGCCGCTGAACTCTCCAGACTTTGTTTTGGAAGCCATTTTTAGAAACTCACCCTTTCTGCACGTACATCAGTAGTTGAACTGGTGAGATGAATATGCTTCTCACATTCCTTCCTGCAGCCAAACAGCAACATTAGGAAATGTATGCACATTTTTTTAAGGTTTTAAATTTTTATGACTTTCATTGGAAGTGAGTTCTTTCCAGCAGCGTGTTGAATCCAGATTTTGTTCATAAAGTTGCTTTGATGCGTTGTCAGTGTTCTGCTGCTCATGGGTTTCTGTTTGTTCCCAATGAGTCTGTGGAGAGAAGCCTGCATTAGAAGAAGGAGCTGTTGAAAAGGAAAAACAACCTGTTTGTCAGTTATTTCAGAAATTTGTTTCCACATCATATGCCTTTGGCTTGGACAAAAGTTGTGAAATAGCCTTTGTTTCATACTATTTTGTCTTAAACCTGTTTCCTGTGAATAACTAGGGTTGTAAGGAGAGGTTAGTAAAGGGTCAGCTCTCCCACGTGAGAAGGGAAAGAGTAACCTCTTCTCTTATGCAGCCTCCATATCTGAGTAAGACATGCAGTGACCTGCGTGGGCAGCGTCTTGGCACAGGCCGGAAACCCCGGGGAGGAGGGCATTGTCCCCGGGGGAGTGTTTACTCAGAGGTCTGTGTAGATGGTCTGATGTGACTCAGAGACAGTGATCTTGGAAAAGCTAGACAGATCTCCTTGGGGACAGGGCAAAGATGTTCAGGCAGAGAGAAATGTGATTCCAAAAAGCACATACAACTTGTGGCATGACTGAGCGCTCGCTGGGCAGACTTCCACTCGTCCGACCAGGACCTAGTGGTAGAGGTGCCTTGGTTAACATCAGAAGACTTTACAGCACGAGGGAAGCACAGAGAGAATGCTCGAGCACCATGCAGATGAGTCAGGCAGAGCTGTGTCTTCTGAAAGGTATTGACCACCGGGTATTATTTTTTAAACCAGAGTACTTTTTCTTTTTTAATGAAACTCACCGACATTCATAAGGGAGAACTTTGAAAACACCCAAATTTGAAGGACTCCTAGGACATAGAATATTGTCCCTTATATGCAGTAACATGAGATTGAAAAGTGCAAGTGAACCCCCAGGTCCCCAGAGATGGAGACGGCACAAGCTCTGAGAAGACTGGAGGACAGAGGGTGCTGGGCAGCCTGCCCGGCCCTGCGCAAGCTCAGTGCCCGGGGCATCTGGTCAGACCCTAAAGACTCCAGGCTTCAGGACAATCACAGCTGGGTACCTGCCATAGACCTTTAGGGCTCTCACGGGCCGTCAGACCTCTAGGTGTCACATCCACAAGCACCAAGCCACCTATGTACTCTGCCCCCACCTAGGACACAGCTGTGCTGGGGCACAGTCCTGGCTGCCCACAACAAGCAGCACTGGTGTGAGCCCACACGTATGGGGCACAGAGGCGGTGAGGTGTCTGGAATATGTGATGGCTGCAGGCAGCCCGTGAGAGCAGGACACATGCATTTGTATAAATCACAGAAGCAGGAGGAAAGGTGAGCAATTCACAGATTCCTGCATTTCTAGTTCTTTTGGTCTTTGCTTTCCAAGGCTAATTGTTTCTACAAGGCTGTCATCTAATTAGAGACCTCAGCACAGGGACATGTCTGTCACACCAGGGACAAGTCACACCCCCTTCCTCCCACAGGACAGAGCAGGTGGAGGACAGGGAGGAGGCTGTGAGGCAGGCTGTGCTGATGAATTAGGGGCCTTGGGCAGGGCACTGAGAGGTTCCGAGACTGTTTTCTCCTCCCTCAAAAAGAAGTAAAAGTTCTGTCCTGGTTTTCATGAGATGTAAATGAGGGGACCTAAGAAGGAGTCTTATCATAGGGCCTGGCGTGGGGTCAGGGGACACCACCAAGCCTCACTGCACTGCCACATTGCCCGTGGATGTCACCACCACTCCTCCCTTCTTCACCCAGACCCTGGCCCTCTTTGGGCAAGAGTCCATAATCTGGTACTTAGCCTTGGAAATTGGAGACTAACAGGGTTTTCTCTTTTCCCACCTTGCACATTGGCCATGACAGATGTTTCAGCTGGACTGTATCAATGGAGGTGAGGCCCAGGGTGTTTCACTGGGCTGAGATGATGGGCAGGAACAGCTGTAGGAGTTCCACAGAATTCCTCTCTCTAATCCAGGGCTGTGAGTCTCAACCTCACCTGTTCATGACATTGGTGAGAGAGCTTCTAAAAGCCCTCATACCCACTTAAATAGTATCTCTGGATATAGGACCCAGACACCAGCGTTTCTGAGCACCCCCTGCCCCTCTCGCAGGTGAGTCATGACCTCGTAAGAGTCAGGCTGAATGTGAGAGTCTGGGCATTGGGAGACTCTGGGGCTGCCTGGTGAGACCAGCTTGACAGTTACACGTCCTGGGAGCCTTAGCTGGAAGGGAGATAGGCAGACATTTGATCAGATAAATCATTGATTCAGGATGTTGGTACCAAGCTAATCAAGGTGGTGGGGGGCAGAGTATTACGGCTGAGCTAATTGTATGAAGATATTAGCTGGTTCACAAGAAGACTGGTAGAAAAAGAAAATAGTCAAAGAGGAGTTTTTTAATCTTTGACGGCGGCTTTTGTTGCCCTTTTTCTATTCTCTGACATAACGTAGGACTTGTAATTTATAGGGAAAAAACACAACTCACGTGGTCGCGCATCTCTAGGGGGAGGAACCTTTAGTGACTTTATAAAAATAAGCACCTGTCTTGTTCTCCAGTTGCTTTCTAGCTAATTTTGGTCCCTTTTCTTTTGCCAGTTGCCAGAGGCTCCACCCTCCGAGGAGGAAGAACAGGAAGCCTGGGTGAACGCCTTGCTTGGAAGAATGTTTTGGGACTTCTTAGGAGAGAAGTACTGGTCTGATCTGGTGTCTAAGAAAATCCAAATGAAACTCAGCAAAATAAAGGTATTGTTTTCCATACCAGAGGCTTCCAATTCATCATGTATCTTAATTTCTGGAATTTTTGTACCCTTACATCCTAAGTGAAAAATAATTTGGTTTAAAGCATGTAACAAATGGGAGTAGTGAGTTCTTATCAAGCAACATGTGTGGGCTGTGCCCTTGACAGTAGGACTAAGTGCATCTGGGGATTTAGTGCATGTTCCTGTTGATTTTTTCCTGTTCTTGCCCTCATTGTTTATCCACTCCAGGTGGTGATCCAGAATTTGGTTTATGAAAACGTGAGCTTTTGTAGCCGGTTTGTTGTATAAAATTTTCTATCTTTAAGTTAGTAATGAGCTTAAGTTGTATGCCCGGAGAGCCCAGCCAGCCTCACAGTCCTGGCCACGTAGCATATGCTCTGAGGAAAATGCCAGACTACTTAAAACCTCTTTCTCAACTCCCTCTCAAAGCTGGGAAGGTTACTGTTGCACTCTGAATGTGTCTGCATTTGACCTTTACTTCTGGACAGATGGTATTTTATTTTGGGCTCCCTCTTTGCTGAGGAAACAGTCCTGGTGCTGTTGTAGGCCCACTTGGAAGTGAGTTTAAACTTGCATAAGTATTCTTCGTGATTGCCACTTAAAGACTCATTTAGTACCACCTTTGCCAACCAAGAAATCTTATATAGGTTACTTTCAAGTAAGTTTTTGATCCAGTGAGGACCCAATCAAGGAAGAGTCACTTTGGTCTCCAGATCGTCACGGAGAGCTTAGCTTGCTGTCAGCAACTTAAGTCAGTGGCTCTTTTTGGGTCATGGATACCTCTGAGAAGCAGAAACATACGGGCCCTTTCCCTAGAAAAACGCACTTTGACCCAGCTTATTGCCCGCGATTTCAGAGTTCAAGGACTGCAAGTTAGAAATCTGTGAGCTAAGGTAAATCATATTAAAAGGAAAATGTAGGCATGGAGGAGCTTTGACTTGATTTCTGTCATTCTTTGGGTCATGAACAGGGCCTTCCCTGCCTCAGTCAGGCTCTCTCTGCCACCGTGGCCTCGTGTCATCCCTTCCCCAGCCCCCGATGAGGAGGAGGGGCTGCCTCCGAAGCTGGAAGAGCGAATCTTGAGGCAGGAGTCGGGGCAGGGATTCGGGAGGGCTCTGTTGACGAGGGTCAGCCTGTTGTTCTCAGGGTGAGTTGAGGGTTGAACCTGCTCTGCCAGCCAGGTCTGGGGAGGGGAGTGGGAGAGGAGAGGCCGGCAGCCAACCTGAAGCCCCCTCAACCTCTTCCCCTTTTTGGAAGATGACGGAGGGCTTGAGTTTCCCGGTCCAGGCACATGGGCGGGGCTGGTGCTCCTCTTTTCCTGAAGACTGTTCCCTGAGCAGCAGGGCTGCGGGCCTTGGCACAGGGCGACAGAAAGAGGGGCCTACCTGAGCGCCAGCTGGGACACTGCTCGTTGTCACTCAGGTTCCAGCGCGGACTCGGAGAGCGCGGGGAGCCACGCTCCTCTCTGGCACCGGAAGTCCCCGGGGCCTCTGCCCTCCCAGGGTGGTGGGGGAGTTTCATCTTCTCCCTTTGCTGGCTGTGTTGGCTTTCGAAGGCCACAAACTTAAACTTCCTTTTGTTTTTTGAGGTCAGAAGTGCTGGGAGGTTAGGATGGAGAAAAGTGACCTCGATTCAGCTGGAGCACCAGCTGTACCCCATCCATTGCCAGCCTCAGCACCTCCCACCCTCCACCCCAACCTGAGCTGTGGCCCCATGAAGCGCCCTGCAGACCAGAGGGGACCCTGGCAATGGAATAAATAGGAAGGCAGCAGGACATGAGTTTATTTCTGAACCTGCCACCACTCCTGCCAAAAGAATTCTTAATATCACCAATATCCAAGTGTCCCTGGGAAGGGCTGTTCCTTAAACCTAGTAGTGAGTATTGGTTCATGGCCAGTCAAGGGCCAGAATGGCTGGAGGAGCCTGAGCTGCCCGCTGTGACAGAGATCTCCCCTGGTTTCTTTGAAGGCCTGACGCAGGGAGAGCTCTTTGCTGGCCTTGCCCTGCACCCTCACCTGTGATAATGATTCATAAAAAGCAGCCCTGTGTGTGTATCTGGCACCCAGTGATGCGTTTAAAATGAGCTGAGTTTCTGCCCTACCAGCAAGTACACCCTGGGTCTTGGCTGGCTGCTCCAGCACCACTTGGAGCCCTCAGGAGTTGTGGGCCTTGGTGCCCTTGTCAGCAAATGCAGCTTTTACTACATATGGCTTCTGACTCACCCCTCACCTAACCTGGAAAACGCCCAGTCCCCAGCTGGGTTTACCCAGGGGGATAGAGAACACGCAGTGGGTTCCTGTCTCACTGCGGTGCCCTTTAGGTGGGAAGAAGAGAGTCTCTGGTTGAAAAGAGCTGGAGGAGTGACCTTTCCTTGTCTTCCCCGTAGAGCAGGAAGGAAGTGGCTTTAGGGCCTGCCTGGTCCTGAGGGTTTTGATTCAGCTCAGAGATCTAAGTAAGGGGGAGGGGTGATTGGCTAGAGATGTTCTAGGATCTCAGAGTTGGGTACTCAGGTGAATAAGTAGAAAATGAGGTGCTGCTGATCCCCCCTCCCCCCCAGTTCTGCTTTCTGGTAATCAGTGCCCACCCCACCCCCGCCGAGGCTTTCTCAGTCCCAGTCTGTCAGTTCGTCAGCACCTCAGGTCCTTCCCCTGCCCTCGTGGGGGCCCAGGAAGCAGGATGGGGTGAGGTGGGAGGCTGGACAGGGCACAGGGAGAGACACCACGTTCCCTCTGTCTGCATTCCCTCTCACTCCCCTGGCTCAGTGTCGACTCCTGTTCCCATAGAAACCCGGCGTGCTCCTGAAACACTGGGTATTAGAGTGCCAATAATAGACAAAAAGGACTGGGGCAAGGGTGTAAGACTTTGGCTACACTCTTGACCGAGTAGCATTCTGTAGGCTGACTGGGAGGCCAACCACCACATAACATTGATGCTTTGGAAAAAGGTTTTCCAAATAAAGCAACCGCCAATTCAAAAATGCACATTTGAACACTGCCTCTAGTCAGTTTTGTCCACCTCACACGTTATAACCTCTTTAAATTAACACCTCCATCCCCACAAAAAATGAAAGATGAAGTTCTCTGACTGGTGAATCCTGAAAGCATCTAAGTATCTCTGCAGAGAGACAGCTGAAGAGGTCCAGCCAAAATAGATATTAAATCCACGCCTGGCTAGATGCTACCTTGTTTTATGGGAAATGTTCAGCATATGTTCAATTTTTTAAAACTCTTCATTATATTCTAAATTTTACAAAATTATTCTAACGTTCAGCTGGAGCAGTACTCATGAGAATAAGAAAATTATGGTGGGGAAGAAAAGAGAGGGACTTGCCAGGATTTAAAAATGTGCTTTAAAGCTACAGTAACAGAAGCAGTTTGATACTGGTGGGATCAGAGTGCTCAGTGCAGTGGAATTCCATACTGAAAGGTGGCATCACAGGTCAGCAGGGAAAGATGTGGTTGTTCAAAAAGTGGGTTGACACCAGACTGGCCCTTGGGAAGAAAATTAAGGTGGATCCCTAATTTACATCTTGCACTAAAATTAAGAGTGGACTAAAGATCTCTTTGCGTATACAAACAACATACATAAATCCAGGTGGAGGAAACGCAGATGGGTTAGTTTTGTGCTCTTGAGGTGAGGTAGGAATGGCCGGGCATGACAGCAGTGCTCTTGTGCAGGGTAGACGCCTACTGCTGCTGCACTAATTGGGGTCCCAGCAGGAAGCAGATGGCACAGTCAGATGGAGCGGGCTGAGGGGGGAGTTTCACAAAGGCGGAGTTTTATAAAGGGTGGGCCGATGTAGGGACATTGAGAGGCACATCGCGGCAATCCGGGGCTGGCAACAGTGGGGAGCCGTTACCACTCCCTGAAGGGGCGAAAGTCGGGGGCAGTTACCCAGACTCGGGCAGGGAGGCTGTGGGGAGAGGGCTGCTGGTCTGCCAGGAGCTGTGGCTTCACTAGCGGGAGGGGACGGATGCCCCACAGTTCTCTTCTCCATGGACCTCCCGCCGCCCCACGGGCCTCTCAGGGTGCAGTGAGGAACTGGAATCCGGGAGGGCAAAGGGAAGACACACAGCGTGGGGTCATGGGGTGTCATCTTTTTTTCCAAAGATTTGAGTACATGTTGTGAGTTGGCCTACAAGAAATGTTGTGATTTCTTAACTCCCCACTAGTAGTCTGAGACTTTAGCCAACTCTGGGCGTTATTAGCCTGTGACCCTCAGGACTGGTTCCTTCTCCAAGTCTCTGGCCACTTTTCAGAGAAGCCTTCGCTGACCTCCGTATCTAAAATACCCCAGGTCCCTCTGTCCCATTATCCACCTTATTTTCTCTGTGGCTGTAATCACTCTTGAAGTTAGATTATTTGTCTACTTGTTTATCTGTTTCTACCTCTTCAATACAAACTCCACGAGAGGTTGACCTTGCCCGACTCGTCCACGGCTCTCTCTGTAGTGCAATGCCTACTATGCGGTATGTGCACAATAAATGTGGGTTAAAGCAATGTGTCCCCCAACCCTTCACCATCGTTCCCTCTGGGAGTATGTTGAGTTCTAATACATACCAGGTTCCTGACGTGCCTCACTGGTTGTTTGTGTCTCTTCTCTAGCTCCCCTACTTCATGAACGAGCTAACTCTGACGGAACTCGACATGGGGGTAGCTGTGCCAAAAATCCTTCAGGCCTTCAAGCCTTACGTTGATCACCAAGGTAACTCTTCATTGACTCTAACGAGGAACTGAGCTATCTACTTATACTTGTGTGAAAATGTTTCCATCACTGCAGATTGAATACCAAGGCTTTGTTTTTGGGGGCAGTTGGGGGCTTTTTAACCATCTATCTTGTGTTTCGTGTCTTCCGTTATTCACAGTCACAGCCTGACGCTGATGGGGAGTAGATCAGGACTTACCCTCCTCATCCTTCTTGTCTTCTGGATCCTTACAGGTTAGAGATGCCCACATGCCAGTTATGGGGCCTGAGCTTTTGTGTGGCCCGGTCCTGGACGGCCACAGCTCTTGCCCTGGTGGGAGACAGTGGGCTGCATTTCAGGCTGCTCACCCCGCGCAGCCTCACGTGCACACCTGCCCCGCCCTGGGCTCTTACCCCAGGAGCTGCCTCTCCTCAGATGTACTGATATCTCTACCTCGCCCTAACTTCTAGGGTGCACATTCTTTGAGCTTCGAGTTTTACATCTTTCTGTTCCTTGCCACTCCTAGTAGGTGCTCAGTAGGGGTTTAAAAAATGAAGACTTATATTGTCAGACAGTATTTTGAGAGTAAGGCTCTGTGCTCGAGGGAAGTCCTCAAAACTGGCTTTTAAGACATACCGACACATTATTTGTGCCTACTTGTGTATGTGTGTGTGTGAAAAGTTGATTAGAATGTGTGAAGAGTTTAAATAAAATTGAGATATAAAGATTTATGTGCATTTTGAGGCATCTTAGTGGAAAAATGAGTACCCAGGAGTTTGGTGAAAAGAAGACTGAAGTAGGCAAGAGAGTCACGAACAGGAAGGGAAAAATCTCCCCGTCATGGAAGCATCCAACTTCTTTCTGTAATATCCCTTTCCAAATGAGCCTCTGTCCACTTAAACTGGATTTAGTTACATTATTCCTCAACGGCTCAGGAACAAAGTCAGGGAGAAAATAATTGTAACTTTTCAAGAGAGTGAGATTTGTTTTGGAGTAAATGTTTTGTAAAATTTATAGACTATAGCATCTACTTTTGTCTCTGTATGACTGTATCAGATGGCTCCTGAACATATTTAGTGAAATCAAGTTCTGTGTTGTATACATTTGATGCAAATACAAAGATTTTTTTTTCTAGCAGTACAATGAGCAGCTCTAGCAAATTTCTCTAGCAATATTTCAGCTGACACTGAAGCCCATATTTCCAGGTCTTTTAGCATCCCATCGATTTAGAGAAGGATAGAGCAGAGAATTATTTGCAAATCCAGAAGTCCATCTAATAGCCTGGTGAGATCACTTGTGACCACTTGATTGTGTCTACACTTTGATGAATCTGAGTGCTCCTAGCTTTAGTTAACTTCTGGTTTGCTCAGTAAAACTGGAAAGAGTCTTTGCAAATTGTCTAGCTAGAGTTCTTTTAACTGTATGTGAAATTTTACAAGATGCATTATCTATGTGTGGAGTGCAGAGCTAGGATCTTCGCCCCACTGGCCTACCAGGGCTGCCTGCCTTCCTCTGGCTCTAGCGGGCTCTGGGTTGCTCTTTGCTCTTTGTCTCTTTAGGAATTGGCTTGTAACTAGCTGGTAAATGATCAGCTAATATAGACTTCCCGAGAATCAGGCTTAAAGAAAGTAAATAATACGTGTGCATGCTCTATTTTCTAATGCTTTATCTCTTATCTCAGGACTGTGCTTTGTTGAATTAGTAGAAATTTCCAATAAGAGGGGACAGGGCCACAGCTGGGCTTTGCAGCATCTAAGAAGTGTCCCTGTGGCTGTGAACTCTGCAGCCTCTCGGGGCAGCTTTGTAAGGCTTTGAGTGAAATTCACCAAATGCCTAAGTCTCAAGTCTGTTTCTTGTTCCTCTGGAGCTGGAGCTGTAGCAAGACATTTTATTATATAGATCAAAGCTTTGCCAGTTTTTAATCCATTTGAGGCTTACTTAACTCCTTTCAGGGCAAGTTTTAGAGATCTGCCTGCTTATGTAACAAGGGAGGAAATGTTACTAAAGAAAGGAATGATAAAGACATAAAGCCTGTGGGTTTTAAAAGTTTGATCAAATTAGGTTTCCAAGTCTGCGAAAGATACATGTGATGGTAAAACAGAAATGAACATGAAGGGAAAATGTGTCTTAGATACCATTGCTCTAAGATAAACCTTCCCTTTGTGGGGAATTAAAATCAGGAGTGACTTGTTAAAACTGGCTCTGAGAAGCAGAGCTCACCTTTCAGGGACCTGCCACCCAGAGTAAAGAAGGCTTCAGCAGCTCTCCTGAGGGGTGCCTCCCGGGGATCCCCCACACCCTTTTAAAAAAATGTTCCTTAACTCGTGCTTATCTGTTGGAGGCATATGGCTCAGGAGGGATGTTCGGGCCAGAGCTGTCTGGATCTCTCCACCCTCAGGATTCTTGTCTTGAGGCAACGCAGGGGTGATTCTGAGCTCCAGCTCTGGAGACCCACTGCCGGATTCATGGCTCCGTGGCCTCAGACAAGTCCTTAGCCTCCTCGGTAACTCTTCTTTCAGCTGAGGAGACTGATAGCACCTACTTGGTAGCTTAAATGAGTTAATACATGAAAGACACTTGGAAAGCATCTGGTGCCAGACGAGCTTGAAGTGGTAACTACTGTTATTTCTGCTGTCATTACTGCTGCCTTTGCTGCTGCTGCTCTCAGGGAGTTTAGAAAGTGAGGGGCTGTGGTGTTCAGTTGACCCATCCTACAGCTCAAAGGTGGCAGATCCTACCAGAACAAATGGAAAGAAAAAGGTGATTCTGGCAGGTCCACTCACCTACACACATCTTTTGGACCTTGCCTGGGGCCTTTATTCAGTGCTGGGACTGAAGTTACTTTGCCCCTGGAGTATTGCGGAAAAATGGAACTAGAGTCGGTCTGTTACCAGCCCATCCTTCAGCTAAGCCCTCATCGAGAGAGCAGCTGCCCAGGGCCGATCACAGTGACAGGGTCAGACTGCGAGTCTCAGCGCTGACAAGAATGGCACGTGTACTCTCACCAAATGGTATTGCAAAAAGAAAAAATACTTTCTGTGGAAAGAGGGGGAAAATACCCTTTCGTGGAACTTGGGTGGGGTTGGAGAGAAGAGACTCTAGATTCGGGACCACGTTGACCTTGGAAGGCAGACCTGTTTCCAAGAATAGTTTACAGATAGGGAAAGCCAATCATGATGTCTGTCTTAAAAGACACATCCAGATACAAGGAATACTGGTTTTCTGCCGTATCCGAGTGAGCAGTATGGCACGAGTCTGTTTGCCAAGAACAAAACAATCACTGATGTGCTCTTCTGAGAGCCGAATGACTCAAACACCTGTTCTTGGTAATATGTCATTAAGTGTTCCATTTTAAGAGCTTTTGTTCCTTGGATGCCAAACGTTGACTTTCAGAGTGAAAGTCAGCCACTAGTTGCAGGTAGAGGGCAGCGGGGGAGCAGAAGACATGAAGGCCAGGCTCAGGTGAGCAAGGCTTTAGGGTCTTCTACCTCCTTCTGAGCACCAGGTGCCCCATTAAACCTGTTCCAATGAGACTGAAGCCTTTTAGTGATTTTGATAATAATACAACAATGAGCTGTGGAGTGAAATTATCAGATTTATGCAGCTGTAGTAGGACTGTTCCTGAAGCCCAGGGGTCTATGGAATAAACTACCAGGGAGAAGGCGGAAGCACCTGTGTTCTGCTTGTCTCTGGTGACACGCGCCAGGGCACGTGTATCACCGCTGGCGGCCGCACCATCTGCTCTGCACCAGGTGGCCCAGGCCATCCTTCTTCTTTGAGCATAAACTTCCTGAGGACGGGGATTCATCTCAGCATCTTCAGCTCTGATGTCTTGCATTAAGAACTCAATAAAATTTGGGGAGTGGAGCTGTAACTTTTGCCACAGTCTCCCTCCAAGTAGCGGTGTGGTGGTAACTGATCCTTCTCTCATGAAGCTGAAGGGAAACAAAAAGGACCGTACGGGTCCTTGCGTTAAGACTGACTGAAGCTTGTCATTTTCATCATCGGTTGTGTTTCCCCTGTTGCCCAGTGAAGGGCTGGCTTTATAGAGACCTGTTACAGCCAGGCACCACCCTTCACCACGGGACAGCCTCACCACATGAAGACCCCTTGCGTGGGGGAGATCTGCTGTGGCCTGAATGCTTTGTTCCCCCTAGATTCATATGTGGAGGCCCTAACCTGCCACGTGATGGTATTTTGAGACAGAGCCTTTAGAGGTAATTAGGGTTAGATGAGGTCATGATGGAATTAATGTCCTCATGGGACTAGAGACCAGAGACATAACTGTCTCTCTCTCTGCCACATGAGGACACAGGAGAAGGCGGCTGTCTGCAAGCCAGGAAGAGAGCCCTTACCAGGAATGAACTGACTGGCACCTTGATCTTGGGCTTCCAACCTCCAGAAATGTGCCAAATAAATGTCTATTGTTTCAGCCCCCCCATGTATGATATTTTCTTACAGCAGCACAAGCAGACTGAGACAAGACCCTTTGTGTTCCCGCCCTTTCCAGAGAACCTCTCAGGACTGACTGCTTTCCTCCATTTAAAGACTTTTTAAAAAAATTTCCTGTTCCTCAACTTCTGGTCAGGAGTCCAGAAGGAGCCCTGACCCTGCACTCACCCAGGTGAGGTGCATTCAGCTCATCAAGAGTTAGGGTGCCACTCAGGGCACAGAGTGTGTCCCCACTTCACAGTGTAGCTACTTCTGTCCCTGGTGGGAAAGCTGTTGATTTCATCTTTCAGTCATGCAGCGTGGGGCCCCTGACTGACCCTTTACGTAACCAGTCAGCCTCGGCTCCTGTCGTGTGTGCCAAGGCTTTCAGGGCAGTTGCTGCTGAATTTTGTCACAGAAGCAAGTTTTTCTTTGTACCTAGTGTTAAAATAGTCATCTTACTCTTGTTAGAATGCAAACACGTCATATTAAGATGATTTGTTGGAATGTTTGCAGTTTATATCTGTTTTTAAAGGTTCTCAAACCATCCTTGACTCCTTCATATCTTCACTGAGAATCTGGGCTGAGCAAGGCCCTGTGGGTGGGCCTCGTGAGACACAGACAATGAGAGAAAAAACAGACCCCATCCCATACGCGGAGTCTCAGTCAGATGTCCACGCCTCGTCCCCTGCCCACCCCAGACAGGGCTCTGACTGCCCAGTGCAGCCTCTTCCCTCTGGCCCTGTGGCCTCCTCTGGTCTGGTCCCCAGCGGCCGTGGCAGTAGCAGCATGCTTGGCTGCAGCCAGAGTCGTGGAAGGAAGGAAGTGGACTGGTGGTGGCAGAGAAGGGGGAGAGCCCTGCCAGCACGTGCCAGGCGCTGGGCTGTCCAAGCCGCGTGGTCTCACCTGTGCAGGTGAGGAGGCCGGTGCACAGAGTGCACAGAGGTCGAGAAACTTCCAGTGAAACTCAAGCCCTGGTAAACTCAAGCCCTGCTCTGTGTGACTGGGCTCCAGGTGCAATTCCCTCTTCTTTCTGGCCTCAGCTCCCGGCCAGGGGCTGGAGCACACGTCAATGACTGGAACGTCCTGATGACTAGGGTGTGGGCCAGCTGCTTACTAAACCTGTATCCATAGCCCCTCACATAAAAATCAGACAAAACCTTCCACTTTATGACAAGTAAAATTCTGGTGCCTTTAATATGACAACCTTCAAAGACATACATACAAGTAATATTTATAGGAAACCTGACCAGGATTTTCAAAGGAAATGATTATGTCTGAATTCATACAGCAACCAGGTAGTTTGAGTCTATTGATTCTTAAGTTAAATAAAGCTGGAGATATGCCACAATATACGTCTTCTTTATTGATGTTCTATTTATACTGAGTTTAAAATTTATTAATATCATCTTTTGCCTTAATCCCCTTTCTGCTGAAAGTGATTAATGACTAAGTAATTGTCTTTATTAAAGCAGATGTGCCCTTTATTTCCAGTAACAGTGCCTTTGAAGAGCAAGCTAATTAATGATTTTTAAGTGTTTAATGTAAGCAAGAAATAAAGCAGTTTTATGAGTTCCTGCAAAGAAGACATTCACAATTGATCTGCATATCACTTAATTAAACCAGGTCATTCCTGGAAAATAATTACCTTCAACTATGATAAAAAGAATTCTGTGAAAACAGAGTGGAAATTATTCTGCCTTTAGTGAGGAATTACACCACTGGTGGTTACTGAGGTTAAGCAAAGCTTTATGTGAGATGGTGTCCAAATAGGGGATGGGTTATTTACTGTAACTGCTTGAAAAGTCTGCTGTGTGTGAACAGTGGTTTTAGATTACCTTCCTGCTTCCTTTTAGATGCTGTCATTTGTCTTACAATGATCTCTGTAAAAAAGTTTTTATTAACTTTTAAATGCTCACTTGAAGGATCATGTTTTGACTGAAAGTCCATGAGGCATGGAATTCTGAGTCAGAAAAATCACAGCATAGCCTGTGCTGCCTGTTGAATTACAGGAGCCTGGGGTAGAAGGTCGTGAGGTGACCCCTGTTTGCGTTTTAGACTTCCGGTCAGTGGCCACGTCTGCTGGTGATCTTCCCAGTGAAATTCCACAAAGCCAGAAGCCTCTAAGACATGCCCTCATGGACATGAGTGTCTTTTCTAAGAAATAGGTTTTTACACTAAGGTTCAGAATGGTTCCCCAGATTTATCTAGGTAATCCCGGGGCTTGAGCATTAACTCTTTTGTTTCCATTACTAGGCAATTTCCAGAAAGAAGAGGGTTCTAAAACATTTTGTCACCATCCTTATTGTACGAAGCTAAACTTGAACCATTTTCTGTCCCCCTCCTCTTCCACACCCCTGACAAAAGATAACTTTAAGAAAGACAATGAGTCTCACTTGTGTCTTTAAAGAAGAGCCAAGCTTGCTGTGAAGTCTCTGCACGTCTCTCCTGCCTCTGGCTGGCGGGGAGTCAGCAGCAGCCCTCCTCCTGGCTTTGCCCTGGGGCGAGCCACCTCCTCCTGGCGGGGACTGTGTTTCTCACTGAATGCGAGAAGAACCCAGAGGACAGGACCCTTCCAGGGCTAACAAGTGCACGCACGCACTGTGACCATTTTAATGGATATTGAAATGCTGGCAGCTTGCCAATGCTCGAACTATTTCCAGATGCTTTTTTCAGTCTCCTCTAGCATGCAATAGCAGTACAGGCAATATGTGTCTGTAGACTTTCAATGTGATACTTACTTAGATACTTCATAAAATTTTATACTGTTGTTTGTAGTCATGTTTTTCTAGGGGGGGAAAAACTTTTTTTTTTACCATTTCTCCAGGACTCTGGATCGATTTGGAAATGTCCTACAATGGGTCCTTTCTGATGACTCTCGAGACCAAAATGAATTTGACCAAACTAGGTAAAGAGCCTCTTGTTGAAGCCCTGAAGGTTGGAGAAATTGGCAAAGAAGGGTAAGGGGCTATATGAATTTACTAATCCAACCCTGGGGAACCAACTTCTCCCTCCAGCCTGGGAGAAGCACTCTGATACGTAGTAGCCTCAGTGTTGATTGAACTTCCATGTAACTGCTTCCCGACCACAGAGGAATGATTTCAGGGGAGGGTTTCCCGGTTTCATCTCCCACAGACTGTGAGTGCCCACCTCTGCTCAGTGCTGCCAGTGGGGCACACGGTATTGATGACCCAGAAAGCATCCCTGACTCAAACCAGCAGGGCAGGCTGCACAGTAAAATGCTTTGTGAAGAGAATCATCAACCAGAAAGTCCCTCCTTCAGCTTGCAGCCACAAAGAGCAGTACGTGGGCCAGGCTAAGGTCCTTAGGAGGTCTGCCTGCTTTAACCACAGTCAGGGTTATTTATAATTAGACGATTGATTTCATAGCCAAGAGGGTGCTCCTAAAGTGTTTGAGGAGCATTTCCCCTAAATAATAAATACACTGTTGATTTTCTTAGTAAATTCCTCTTTGTAGAAGATGGTGCATCTGCTCCTGAGTTTGTTTGATTTAGTAAATACTCTCAGTTTGTGTGATAGTTAATGAAGCTGATTTTTTCTTTTTCTTAGATGCCTAGACTGGATAAGCGGGACTTTCACATTTCCACACATCTTAAAAATGACTGCTTCTGACCACAAATTTAAATTACATTATTGTTTTTACCAAACTGATCATGCTCACTGGAGCCTGCTTCTCCCATCTTTAGCCCCTTTGCACGGACTTAACAGCACAATGATAGGAAAATGCCACAAGGAGCCACCTTCTCAGGGTCTGAATATAAATATAAGACACAGGCTCTTCGGCTTGTGCTCAGTCACAACGCTGACCTGATGCTTGTGTTCGCACATGAGTGACAGCACAGTAGATGGGGGTTGGGGGAGCTGGCACATACATTTGAAAATGTTCTTTCACTGAGATTTTTCTGGTTTATCCAGGTTACTTAATGAAAATGTTCCTATTTTTATTGTTGGAGAACTTAATGTGCTGTATGCAATCTAACCTGTATCTGTGCTGTTTTCCTTTCACTTTTCTACTGTTGGGTAAAATGTGTGTGGATTCGGCAATCTGTGGATTGTATTTTCCGGTGAGTGGTGTTCCTCAGCTCTCCATGCAGCATTTCATAACCCTGTCAGTGCTGAGTCTCGTTTGGACCCATGTGACACCATGAGGAAGCTTGTCCTTTCGCTGTGTTCCTGGACATAAAGACACCATTTGTAGACCTGAGAGGATTAAGATCAGGAGTATTTAAGAGGCTTTCCTGGCAGGGAAAGTCGTTCAGACTTCCTTGGCATGAATTGCACGGCCCTGACCTAGCCCTCTAGTCAGACTCAGCTCCGCCCCTGGATGCCCCGCCCCAGCCCCATGCCCAGTCCAGCGCCATCAGTCCAGTCTCATGACACCAGAGTTGCAGAACCAGCTGCCGATAAAACCCAGCACCTTAGGCAGAAGCAGTCTTGAAAATGAGGCCTAACTACCTGGGAGCGGGACAGAGCAGAGCTCAGTCAGAAGCTTTTGTGCAGGGAGCCCTTCGTGGAAATAGCCCTGTGCTGGCCCAAAGCCGCTGGGACTCCATTGGAAAGAAGGGTCTTGGCAGCAGGTGGGCCCCACCACGATCGGGCCCCACCTGAGATCTTTGCCGCTTAGGTGTTCCACGTTCACTGTTAGTCATACGGCTCTCTTGGTGCAATTTCAAGTTCATGCACTCTGGTTGATCACAGGATAGACATGTTTCTAAGCAAGCAGTGCTTCTCTAGACTGCATGAAAAAAACCACCTGGGTTAGGAATATGATGGCCTTATGTTTAATTTGTAATGTATAGCTAAAGTCATTTTTTTTCTAGTAGAGTCGTATAAAATATTTTGCTTCTTGTGAGGGTGTTAAATGTTAAATATTGATGTATAATTGGTTGTCATTTAATTTTAAAAGCAAGGAAAAATGCAATTCAAAAGCAGTTCACTTGTGAGGAAAAGATCTGGAAAAATGAGCCCTTAACCCTTTTTTGCATAAAAGGCCCCCTTGGGAATCTGAGAACTCTAGATCCTTCCCCCAGAAAATGCCTACAGAGGCACCATTCGGTTCACAGTTTCTGGGAACTTTGAGAGCCTCTAAAAGCCCATCCATACATAAGAGCCTAACCCCAGAAGTGATTCGAGGACCCACTTCTCCTCAGTCAGAGCATGGACTCAACCTGAGGCTAGAGACCAGAGAGCAGAGTCCGTGCACCTGCCTAGTGCTGCCCAGCGCTGACATTTCCCTGAGGAGGCCTCTCCCGGAGCAGCCTGTCTGTGCCTGAAGTGCCCTCCCTTTAGCCCGAGGCCACCTGTCCTGGGCTTCCCTTCTGGGCAGGGCTTGTCCAGAGCCCGCCTCTGCTTTGTCACTGCTTTTGTCAGTCCCCTTTGAAGGATGCAAACGACTGTGCCCATGGGGCGTCCCTGAGGAGAGGCTGCTCAGCCTGCAGGCGGTCCTGCTTTCCATTCTCGGGTCATCATCCCACGGGTGGTGTTGAGTTTGGGTCTTTGCCCTTTCACTCTGGTGAAGGCCCTTCCCTTTGAAATGTGGGTGCACTTTATGTTTGCAGACCTGTTTCCTTTAGTCTTTTTATTTCCCACCTAATCTTGTTACCTATTGGAGTTATGGTAACTTTGGGGCAGTAAGGCACTCAAAATGGAATTCAGGTGGTGAGCTGAGCAGTCCTACTAACTTCAGGAGTCGGCCTGAGGGGACCTCAGCGAGTCAGTAAGGGAACTGCTGTGCATAGCGGCTGCTCTTTAAATGGACAAGCGCACTGCAGTGGGGCATTTCCTGGAAGGCACCTGCCCATGCTCCAGCCCTGAAGCCTGGCCGCTGCGCCAGTCCCCACGGGGAGGACTCCTGTGACCTCTGTATTGAGCCACTAGTCCACAGTATACCTTGGTCCACCACCCTGCCCTGAGACCCTCACGTTCTGGGAGACCAGTGCTTGTAGCCCACACTGTGACTCAGTCTAGCTGCGTGTGTGCATGCTCATGGTGTGTCTGTGGCACACGTCTGGAGCCAGTCTCTTTTAAAGAAAATGCATGCACTCTCATGAGTGTGTTCCCCCTCAAAGCAGTCACCTTACTAGCCTGTTTAATTATGCATCCTTCACTTAAAAGCGTTTTTTTTGGAGCTGCTTTTTAGAGTTGCCTCTGGAGTCTGTGACAATTGTTTTAACTATTCTGAGTGACAGCAAATCATCTCGCTTTCTAGATGGATTAGATCTTTGAGAAATTGCCGTAAGTCATTCAGCAATGATGGTGGTTATGTGAGGCTAAGAAACGTTTGATTTAAGACAGAGTATCAGTGATAAAAGAATCCACTTTTTCTTGTGTGTCTGACTCCATGCACATTTCCAGAAAGATTTTTAGCAGAGGCAGCAAAACTGGAATAAGCCTTTTCAGGTGGCACTTTGAAAGGATATCACACTCATCTGGAATTCTAAGGTGTGTTTCAAAGAAAACAGGTTTATCGCTTTCTAGCACATCTTATATAAGAATGTGCAGGGTGTCTTTCTCTGAAATTCATGCCGACATCATAAGGTTGAGATCACAAAATGCGTGTCAGTTATCAAACTTGAATACAGCCAAACATTTCGTTACACTTTTAATTAGTAATTATTCGGTGCTGCATAATACAGCTTCCCAAGCAGAGAGCAGAGAGATACCATTTGGTCAGCATCAGAACTTCATGTCATCTGAGCTGTTTTAACTGATGTAGCACTGTCTAAATTATTAACTTCAAGCCACGAAATTTGTCCTGTTCTCTGTCCTGCGGAGGATTAATTTGGGAACCCAAGAACTCACTGCCGTGCTCAGCCTTTGGCATCTTCTGCCCCAGGTCTGGAAGCTGCCAGATGACAGATACCAGTGGGGACGGCAGGGGGCAGTGGTTCTGCGGGGTTCACTGTGGTCCAAGATCTTGCTTGAGGTGGCCCTTTGTGCTGGGTAGATTCCTTTCCGGGCAGTGTTAGGTCTGAGCCAGGGCTCAGTCATTTTACTGATGGAAAAGTAAGATAGGTGTCCGAGATGGTCTTGTTATCTTTGGGGATTTATCTCCTTGACTTTCTTCATCCCAAGGCCCAGTGTAGACTTTCTTGGGAATCACATCTTGCTCTGTACATTTTATATAATAGGAGAGCTCTCTGAGGGCTGCCTAACCGTGGAAAGCTCTGAGATGGTTTTGTGATCAGCAGATACACACGAGCATTTCCTGGATTAGCCAGGCCTCTGATGAAAGGAGGAAGAGTCAGGTGCTGTCCCCGTGGCTAGGGACAAGAGGCTTTTGTGTCTGCAGAGGGAGTTTCCTTTTAATGCTACGCTCAAGCCTGTTGGCTCTAATGTTTCAGAGCCAGGGTTGAGGAGGATCCGGGTGTCCTTCCAGGGAGGACATTCTTGCGGTCCTCTTACAGCTGGGCTCCTGTTTCAGGGCGGAGATTTCAGTACCCACCGTCTCCCCAGTGCTGGGGCTTCTGCTGGGCTTTCTAGTCCACACTGGTGGGTGTGCTCTGCCCTTGGGTGTCCCTGGCCCTTGTTGGCCAGGAGATGACTGCCCCCTGGGCTTCTGGTGGTCCCAAGGACAGCATTTGAGGAAGACTCTAAAGGAGTACACCTGCAGGGAGATAGGACCTAAACTGTACTGCCTTCCCCTGCCCTGGTGATTTTGTCCTTATCCAAAATACAAGGCCCACCCTCTGCTCAGTGACCATTGGTAGCTTAATAGTGTTCAGAGACTACTCTGTCCCTTGCTTATTTCATCCACATTGTCTCTAACCCTCAGAGATGGGCCCTGCCGCCTGTCTTTCTGAAGCGAAGCCACCATCCAGGCAGAGAGGTGCTTTTTGTGGGTCCAAAGCTCTACCAGGACCCCTCACAGTAGGGGGAACCTTGATCACTCGCCACTGCTGGTGATGCAGCAACCCCCAGGCCTCTGGAAACTGAGGCTCCACCCTGGAAAGATTAATGAGGGACATTGTTTTCCAGTGAGGCTTTTTATTACTGCATTTTAAAAACAGTTTTAAATTTGTACTTCTCCAGAAAGTTCCTGGGTTCTCATGTCAGTTGCTCCCTAGAGTCCTTGAGATTTGTACCTTGTGGTGGTTGTCTTTTTCTGTGACCTTCAGGAGCTGGGGCAGACATGGGGTAAGATACATAATTTCACTAGGAAGGAGTCTTGAACCAAAACTAACTTGGAGGTAACTTAGCCAGAAAGCATCATAGTTGTTGAACTCAGCCGGAGTCAGCGCACTTGCCTGAACATCCCTGTCATCAGTGAGGTGGTCATGTTGCCAACATGAGCTGTCACCTCACCGTGCAACCATCCTTCTTTCCACTCACCCTCCCATTGACCACGCTGCACTGTTGACGAAATCACTGCATTTTATGTGACTGCATCATGCTCCCACCACCTGTCTTTCTGACGCATGCGCGGAATCGAACCCTTCAGGCCCAAGTCCTCTGCGGTCCTGCCAGGGAGCTTGGTGCCAGAGTCTCCCGGGTAAATCGGGCCAATCCGAGGACTCGGGTTGGGCCTCTTCTGCCAGGTGGGAGGTGGGTGGGAGAGAATGATGACAGATTGATGGTGGTGGAACGCGTGCTCTTCATAAGCAGAGCCTGGGCGCAGGGCGGGCGGGCTGCCTGGTGACTCCGCCCTGATCAGTTGCAGGCCCAGGGCGTTCTGTCTGGCCGACAGCGACGAGGAGTCCTCCAGTGCTGGCTCCTCGGACGAAGATGACGCGCCAGAGCCCAGCGCGGGAGACAAACCGCTTGTCCCAGGGGCCGAAGGGTGAGTGGGCCCAGCTTCTGGGGTCTTCCGGGGTCAGGGCAGCAAGTTGGGACTGAGCCTTTTTTGCCTTTTCCTGTGATTTTTTTCCTCCTTCACACTGAGTGGATGGTTTTTGCATTAATAACTCAAAGCCAGTGGCTTAAAATTCCAGGCCCCAAAGCAAAAAGGCCAGTATAGCTTTCCTTAATTAAGAAGGTCCAGATCAAAATGGTTTTCTCAGGCCACTGGAGTGGATAATAGAGAACCGAAGGGCAACGTTATGTGAAGGAGCATGAATGACACAATACCTCCCCCTGGTGCTGGTGGGGCGCAGTACTTGCTTGTTGAGCTTTTAGTTCCTCCACAGCTGAAACATTCAGGTGATTTCTTGGTGACTTTGGAAAACACGGCTTGCTTAGCTGATCTTTGGGATCATGAACTTCATTAAGGATCTGTTAATTATTTAAAGTGAATGAAGAAACTAAAATGATAAAGAAACCAGGTGGTTCAGAAGCATTTGTAAGAGAATGTCATCCTATTCACTTTGAAATCCTACAGAAGCTGAGAAGAGAATCCAGACGTTTGAGGAGTTGGCACTAAAGTTTGTGTGTATTATTTAAACTCTACTCATCTTCTAAAGAGTAATTGCTTTCCCTCACACACGTACACATATTATTCCTGATACCCTGCAATGGTGGAGGATTTTAGGAAGCAAATATCCTCTCTTCTTAGGGCAGACCTGATACAGAAGCTTGCTTTCCTGGCCTGCTAGCATATCAGCTTGATGTAGCTTTTTTCTTTGGATGTTTCTAAGCCGTTTGACAAATAGTTGCTGCTCATAGTTGGTGTGACACCATCTAAAAGGCAGGCAGTCAGTTCCTGTGTTTTGTGTCCCTGTGGGTGCAGCATGAGTTCTTATTTGCTATATAGAGATGGTGAGATTTCTCTAAGAGGACACTGAACTTATATTCAGTATTTGAAGGTTACAAAGGGGAGCAGGCGAGATGCCCCTTCTGCTTACACTGTGAGAACTCGGTCTGACTATCAAGACTCAGGCTCTGTCTGATGTCTACACCTTGTCTAAGTAATAGTACTGAACTGAGGGTTATTTTGTTCCCCTCAGAGGACATTTAGCAATGTCCAGAGACATTTTTTATTGTCATGACTGCAGAGGAGCGTGTTATTGATGTGTGGCAGGCGGAGGCGGGGGTGCTGCTAAACACTGTAGATGGGACAGCGCCCACAGCAGAGAATCACCCAGCCCAAAACATCAGTGGCGCTGCAGTTGAGAAACTCTGGTCTGCAGTAAGGTGAACACGGAGCCACCAAGTTTTTGTTTCGGAAGGAACAAAGTTCATACTAACACCTGTTTGTGTCTCTCATTTAAAGGTATGTTGGGGGTCATCGAACAAGTAAGATTATGAGATTTGTTGATAAAATTACCAAGTCAAAATATTTCCAAAAAGCCACGGAGACAGAGTTCATTAAAAAGAAGATAGAAGAAGTTTCCAATACACCCCTGCTACTAACCGTGGAAGTTCAGGAATGTAGAGGAACCTTGGCGGTCAACATCCCACCTCCCCCGACAGACCGAATATGGTACGCAGAGGGCCCCTCAGGGACAGCCGGGGTTCCCCATGTTGCATGACCCTAAAAATCCCAGCCTGCTTACCCTTGACGTTGTGGAAAGTACCTTCCCTGGGCAGAATCACTTGCAAACGTTTTTTGTGGAACCTTAATATTAGTTGTAAATCCAATTCTACTTACTTCTGTGAGTAGTTAATTCACATATTAAGATTCATCTCCACACGCTTGGGAGAGTTAAGGTTAGTAGGTAAAGTTTATGGGATGAGCTGTTTCTATTCTTGGTCTTCCTCGTCTCTCAAGTCAACCCTTCCCACCAGTAGGAAGAACTGTCACTTGTTAGGGCTCTTACTCTCTGCCTGGCCTGGGGGGTAACTGCTTCACCTGATCAGTCCTCAAAGCATCCTGTGGAGACAGGGCCAACCTTACGCCTGCATTACAGGTGGGGATCACACATCCAGCAGAGTCCTGGGTGGTTAGAGAAGACCCCCCTAGGTCAGACCTGGCTGTTAAGGATGCAGGAGCGTGTGTGCTTGGTAGTTGTGGCAGAAGGTCTACCTAAAGAGCTGTCATTTAAATGAACCAGTGGGTCTTAACCCCACCTCATACCATAGTCACCTGGGGACTTGTTGAAGCTGTGCCCAGCCTGTCCCCTAGGATTCAGGGGCTGGGGAACTAAGCCAAGACTGAGAATCACTGAAGTGAATTCCTCGTGGGTCCAGCAGAAGAAAATCACTGTCTGTAAATTTCAATTTCAATTTTAAATTGACATTCCAAGTCCTGTAAAATGTGCATAAGGATATACAGGGATTGCACCAAAGACCTCATTGCACCATAAACCACACTCATATGAAAAAGATAGTTCTGTTCTATCATAGAGTGAAACCAGCCTGCTGGTCCACATCCTTAGTGTTCAGAAGGGCTAGTAGGAATGTTCACAAGAGGATTTTTTTAATTCACTGATCATTTAATGATGATAATTGTGTTTCCCAGGAAAAACTTTAAAATACCATTTTAGACTTCTTAAAGTAATATTTTGACTGGGGAAGAAAAGCCTATAATCTTACCATCCTAAAATAACCACTGCTAATACCTCACTGTGTAGTTTTCCAAGCCTAATATAAAAAACGTTTTTTTTTTTAATATTGAGAGTTGATACAACAAGCTTTGACTTACCAGTTCCCAGGGCCACTGATCAGTAGGAGTTAAAGGCCTCTAGGATGGTGCTACCCATTGCATGCTTGAGTGCCTGACTCTTGTTATTGATCCACCAAGATAAGTGTAAATATCAAGAGTGTGGAGAAATATTTATAGCCATTTGCCACTTTAATTGTACAGGCATACCTCGTCTTACTATGCCTCACTTTACGGAACTTGTAAGATACTGTGTTTTTCACAAATTAAAGGTTTGTGGCAACCCTGCCTTGCAGATGACGGTTTGCATTTTTTAAGCAATAAAGTATTTTTAACTTGAGGTATGTATTTCTTGCACACTTAATGGACCACAATGTAAATATAACGTTTAGATGCACCAGGAAACCAAAAAGTTCCTATGACTCATTCTATTGCAATATTAGTTTTATTGAGGGGGTCTGGAACGGAGCCCACAGCATCTCCAAGGTGTGCCTGGATTTTTCAAAACATTGGTCCATGATGGATCGAAGTTTTTAGATAGTTTGATAGCACACAGTCTCTTGTCTGGATATTTTTCTCACAATTCTGAGTGCCAGTCCACTCCACTGAGAAGCCATGATAATCATGATGTGGAATGTAGAATGAAAAAGCAGGTTACAGAATATTCTCTATTTATATATGCAAATTAGGAGTGTGGAGGAAATTAACCCCACTTCTGTCAGTGGTCCTGTCTTGGTGAGATTCAGAGAGATGCAGTGTCTTTTTTTCTGCTTTATATGCTTGTATATTTTGGGTAGACATATACTACTTTCATAAAAATAGAAACAGAAAAGATCCTTGCTATTTTAGAAAAAAACAAACAAACAAACAAAAAGCAATGCCCAGGTCATGGACTTTCCCAGTGGTGTTTCCTGGCTTTCTTAGTTTGTCAGAACTGTTCTCAAGTTATCACACCCCTGGGTCCAGGGACACAGGGAGTTCACAATTCATACTTGCTGCATTGAATTATCTTTTAGAAGCAGTTTTCAGAAGAAGAGAACATGTAAGTAGTGATAAAGCCTCGTGTAAATGAGGAATGTTTGCTCTTGGTACTATTCTCTTCCTTTCTTAGCTTCTAAATGTGGTTATTACTTATCTTCTTTTAAAAGGTACGGTTTCCGGAAGCCACCATATATAGAGCTGAAAGCTCGGCCAAAACTTGGAGAGAGAGAGGTGACTTTAGTTCATGTGACAGACTGGATAGAGAAGAAACTAGAGCAGGAGTTTCAGGTAAACCTGCAGTGTCATCTAGTGTTTCACGCTGAGTCTAAAAGCTCTGGGTAGAACAGAGTTTCTGAACTTCATGTGGGTCAGGGTTCACCTTTGAGAATCTGGCAAAAGCTATGGACTCTCATCCCAGGAAAGTACACATATGATCAAACAGGCGAAACACTTCAGGCACACCTTCAGAAAGTCTGAAACTCATCCACAGAACCCTGTCCAGTAGTCTTCAGAGGAAACCCAAAAGGTAGGGGTCAAAGAGCAAAATGACTGTCTTATACCAGCAGGCCTGGCAAGGGTTCAGCCGTCCACCTGCTGGGGCCATCTTTGGACTTCTTGTTTGGGTGGAGTATGGAATTGGCCAGCTAGTAGCACCTGGTCAGCAGTCAGGGAAATCGCTCCTGCCTTCTGTGGTACCCACCTTGCTCAGTTGGTTCATTTCAGCATTCATGGAAACCATTCCACGTGCCACTACCACCTACTCTGGGAGTCCAAAGATGAATCAGGCCTGTCCCTCCCCTGCAGATCTTCTAGAGTAGTCTTGAAGTTGACTAAGCCAAAGCTTGTTCTCCAAGCCTGTCTTCTGCATTCTGCCACCAAAGGTAACAGCAGTGTAGCCGAGGCCCCGGAACAAGCTATTTCTGTCAAGTTTTCATTAGATATTTGAGGCACAGTTGTCTTTTAAAATTTTATGAGTTAACAGTTTATTTACTTTGTAATGAATTTCACCTTTTGAAGAAGACCCCTATTATTTTTGCAGCGGTGTATTTTGAGTTATTGCCTTTAAAATTACATTTTTATTATTTAAAAGCTATGGGTTAAATATAACTAAAAACCCGTTTCTGGGAAGCTTAATCTTATCTCCAAAAGGAAGAGTACTTTGAACCTAGTTAGGCTAAAGACAACCTCATGCCTTCAGTATTTTCCCTTTTGTCTTATCTCCCTAGGTCCTACATTAGGGATTTGAATGGGCCATCTCTTTCAGGGGTATAGGGGTCGTCTCTTTTAGGGGGCAGACTTTGGGGCCTGGTATTTTTGAGGCAAGTTGGGAAGTTGAAGGCTAACTGCTTGCATTTCTCCCATAGCCACCTGTTTTGTTTTTGCTTTGGTAAGAAAGCACAGCTGAAGTTGAATACATAGCTAAAATTCACTTACATAAATCAGTTTATAAACAGATAGGTAAAGCACTATTCCTATCAATTACGGATTGTCCTTCAGGTCTTCACTGTAGTGAGATTTCTTTCACATGTAGCTCTGTCTGATTCTGGTTTTAAAAAGAAAAAGCTTGCATTTTGTTGCTAGGATTTAAATGGATAAATTCACTTGGAATATGTGCTTTGGATATAATTTGGAAATACTGTGAGCAGCTTACGCCAATTCTCTTAGAATAATGTTACTTACCAATTCATGAGTAATTTTATTATATGTACATGAAATCAAAGGCTCCTTCTGCCTGAGCGTATTGTGTTCTTGTGCTCACATACTGGTGTGAGTCCTCCACACTAAATACTGTTGAGGAATCAGTTTGAAACATGTAGGAAAAGTTGTTTCATATTTTAAAAACTTGCCTAGAGCCTAAAATTACAGTCAGAACAGAGGAGGGCAACAGCCTGAGAAAACAGAGCATTCTTCCACATGGCTGTTCTTTCCCTCCACAGAAAGTTTTTGTCATGCCAAACATGGACGATGTTTATATCCCTATAATGCACTCAGCCATGGATCCTCGCTCTGCATCCAGCCTCCTGAAGGACCCACCTGTGGAGGCTGCGGACCAGCTGTGATGGGTGCGGGTCTGGTGTTCCCAGTATTAGGAAATGGAGCTCAAGGTTTGGGGTTCTTGGCTGCCATCTGGGCTGTGGCACTGGCCTTCCCTGGTGTCACAGCTTCTGCTCTCTGCCTGCCTGGGCCCACTCCACCGTCAAGTGTCCAGACTGCCTGCTGCAAAGCTCTAACTCGGCAAAGGAAACTGGAAGAATCATCAGTGGATCCAGAGATTACAGGTGACTCACACCATGGCTTTCCTACCAGTTTTTTGTGGCAGCAAAAGAGCACATGAAGAACAAAGCTGCACAACTGAAAGGCTTCCCCTTGCCTCCTGACGCCTCCAAAGCTTTTCCTCAAGCAGCCAGTTCAGTGGAATGTTCTCTCACTTATAGCCTGTGACGTAGCCCTCCACGTGCAGAGAATGTCACTGTGGTTACCTGTGTGGAGGGTGGGAATGGAATTTTGTGAACTGTTTCTTTGGTGATAAAGACATATGCATAGCAACCTACTCTTAGTAAATCGTGCGTTTTGGAAGCAACTAGCCATAGAACATACACTCGAACACTGTCAGCTGGGGCGGGGAACAGTGGGATTCACGTGAACACTGGGCAAAGCCATGAGATCAAACCATCCCCTGCCTTTTACCAACAAGCTAAATCACCTGGTTTCTAACTTATCTCAAATGTTTTCCTGAGACAAGCGTATGTGAAAATGTCAAACACTGCACATGACTGGAGTGGGGCCAGAAAGCCAGAGCCACTGTCTTTTTCCAGCTGGCACCTCCTGTGTGCTCTGGGAAGCTTTATGTAGGCATCTTAAATGCTTTAACTGGTTTGGGATGTTTTGCAAATTTCCTTTTCTGATGGCCAAAATGGAGAACTGCTCTTTAACATCTTGAGTCTAGACCAAAACTTTGCTCAACATCAAACACTAAAGATCTCAAAATTAATGTGACACTTAACATTGCCAACTTTATTTTGTGCGTTTGTGTCAGAATATTTAGTTTACAAGTTTCAAGTCTCCCTCAAATTGCATAATTTGCTTTGAGAAGTACACTTAAGATACAATTTTTAAAAATTAAAACTGCGTTCAACAAACTTTATCTTGGGTAACTTTGGACAACTTACATCTGTGGACAAAGCTAATAGTTTTTTAAACAGCACCTTGCCTGAACATGACTTTAAAGAAGTTAATATATTGAAAAAATATTTGAACCCTTACTTGATTACTTTAATTGCACCATTAAAATATGACCTAAATTATTGGATCATTCCAGTTGGTGTACTGTTCTAATTTCTCATTGTGTAGGCCGATTTGCCTGTCAGTCCGCATGTCTTGTTAATTGGTCTTACTTTTGTGCAATAACTATAAAGGCAAAGGACTAGATGCACTACTGTGTAGCGATTACACGACTGTATCCTGTTGCACTTAATCAAATAGTATGTGGGGATTTACAATCTTTACAAGCTTGCATTGTTTCACAAAATAAAGATCTCATGTCAAATACTAGATAAGCATCTAAGTTATTTGTACTTAATCCTTAGATAACAGGGACAGGATAAACTGGGTACAGGGCACCTGGGCCCTCAGCTGCCAATAGCTGCCTGTTTCTTCGGTGATCACTGTACCTGTCCTAAGGGTCCAAGGTAGTCCTCACCACAGATGATATAAAGTAGGCAGTATTATCCTCAGTTCATATTTTAAGAAGTTCTGCTCCTGAGCTGGAATTTATACCAATCACCTACTAATTCTAACTCAGGGCCCCCTCCAGTTACTGACACCAAAGCAGTTAGACATGGTGCTTGTGAATACTTTGCCCTTCAGCACATTTCACCTAAGCCCAAGAGAGATCACTGTCGCCTAGATCTGGACTAAGGAGTGATTGTGCGTTTCTTTAGCGCCTATGTTGTGCCCCGCAATGCACATCTAACCTTCACAAAACCCTGCTGTGAGCTATCTGGGGCACATCCAAAGCAGTTGGCCCTAAATGTAGGCCACAGCCGGATTCTCATCTCTCCTCCCTGAGGACACCATCCACGCCGCACCTGACTGAACGACGTCTCCCTTAAGTTTTAAACCCTTGTTTTGGGGGTTCTTTACAGGCCCCCACCCCCAACAGTTCGGTGCCGCCGTGTGCCTCGCGGTTAAAAGGGCCGCCGCTGCGGGGGCAGACGGCCCCAGTTATGCGCGAGTGCGTGCTCTAGCGCTGCTGCCTGACCCCCAGCGCCACGCGCAGGCGCAGCGAGGGCTCAAAGGCAGCGCATCGCGACAAAGAACACAAGATACTAGCGCTGCGGTCAAACCGTTTTATTTAGATTCGGGGGAGGGTCGAAGGGCTGGAAGAACAAGTAGATCTGACGTCCTCGTCCGGCCCGGGATCTGCAAGAACGAAAGCAGTGGACTGTAAATGTGCCCGCAGGACCGCTCCCTCCCCACCGCCACCGCCACCGCCGCAGCCAGGCTCAGACTCTAGTTCGCATCACCCTCGTCAGCAGTCTAACACGTGCTTTAATTAGATGTCATCACCGCTGGCCACCCGTCCTCCGCTCGGCTCCCAGGTCCCGAGTCCCGGAACAGACAAACTCACCTCTCCAGCTTCACACTCGCTGAAAGGAAAAGGAACGGGCCCGGCTTCTACTTAAAGTAGCCGACCGGAGGTGGTTGGGCGGGCTTTACCGCTATTAGCCAATAGCAGGCCAGACTCCTGCTCACGTGACTTTAAACTGGCCTAATGATTGGCCATGCTCTCTGAGTCCTCCACAGTATAGAATGGTTACACGCCAACCATAGAGATGGGCTTCCAGGAAAGACTGAGTCGCGCAGTGTCTTAAATTCTGGTTTCCTTCCCCACCTACGTCGTCAGCTTGTAATTAGTTTATCTCACTATAGTACAAAACCCCGAAACTTTAGAAACCACAGGACGCAGGTAATGCCTAGCCTGCTTGAGATATTCTGTGCCAGGAGCTAGGCTAGGAGCTGAGGAAATAAAGGTGTTAAACTAGCTTTGCCCCTGAATTTAACGTAGACTATACTATACCGGTAGAAAAAGCATGTGTTTGAAAGCGCGCTGATGTGCAACCAAAAGCTGCCTTTGTGATGAATTCGCCTCGTGACCTTGATCACTTAGCCTTTCTGAACCTCAGTTTGTGAAAAACAGGAAAATCAAAAAAGTAAGTGTTGTAAGGATTAAATGAATTAATGTCAACCGCCTGGCACACTCTGAGTAGTAAACGAATATTTGTTTTTAAAGGATTGGTATGACGTGGAAGAATTATGTGACTGCTATACTGTAATAAATGCTAAAATAGAGCTATAAGCAGCCTACTTTGGAAGCCCAAAGGAGAGAAGGCCTAACTTTGGGAAAGATGAAAGTACTTCTAAGTACTGAGCTTATGTAGTGAGCCAGGCCTATTTCTCACAAGTGGGCAGGAAGAATATTCCCCTGCCCGCTGGGTTTGATTTACTGGGAGAGGGAACAGAAAACAGACCAGCACAATATCTGGTTATCTTTACGTCCTTTGCATGTTTTTCGTGGGAATTCTTTTCCTTTTTTTCTCTTAACTTTTAATAAGGAAAGTATATTGTTTGTTTGTTTTGTAATAATGAAAGCATTTCAGCCTGAGTTTGTAGTTGAATAAGATTCTTACCTTCCTTATTTTCTACACAGTCTTTATTTAAATTTAGAAATTCCTCCTTGATCCAAAACAGTAATTATTTTGGCAAGTGTTTTGTAACCTCTATATTGACTTTAAAAAAGAACAAAAGGCATAGCATAAGAGCTGTGCACTGAGTGTACTGAGTGTCTTACTGAGAAATATAGCATGAAACACAGCCCTCAGACAGCTCTGAGAAGAGGTGAACTGAAGGAGATAACTGAGGGGCCAGGATATATGTGATTTTTTTTCCCCCTGGGATAAAAACATGTAATCAAACATCAAGGATGATTGCTAATCACAAAGAACAGATATTTCAAGGCACACTGAGTGACTGCAGTGGCTCATGGCTTGATCCTTGCAGAACTGGAATGGCAGGTAACATTTTTTTTCTTTACAATGATTATTTTTGTTACTGTTTAAACTTTTCTTTTTAATTTTGAAATTTATGACATTGTGGTAGTTTCTACATTGGGAAATGAATTAATGTTTTCTTTGTGGCCTAGAATATGATCTGCTTTTATGAATGTTCCACAGATTCTTGAAATGAAGATGTTTTCACAATCAAGTGCAGATATTGACATGAAATGTTTATTAATTCAACCTTAGTTGTAATTATATTGTCCACATCTCTGTGTATTTTATACTTGATTGGTAGTGTACATACTGTCATTGATTAATAGTGATATGTTAAGATTGTGCTTCAAATACCAAAAGCAGGCAAGGATGCAAAGCAACAAGAACTTCATTACTGTTTGGGAATGCAAAATAGTACAACCATTTTGGAAAAAAGGCTGGACAGTGTCTTGTAAAGTTAAACATACACTTACCAAATGATGTGACCCAGCAATCAGTCCCTGGGTATTTACCCAAGAGAATGAAAATTTATGTTCATACAGAATCCTATACGTGAGTGTTTATAACATTATTCATAATCGCCTAAAACTAGAACCACCTAAAAGCCCTCAGTGGGTGAATGGGTGAATGGTAAGCAGTTGAGATACTGCTATACAACGGAGTGCTACTCAGCAATAAAATAGAATGAACTATGGGTACATGGTGCACTATGAAGAATCTCAGAGGCGGGAAGGGAGCCATTTTCAAAAGCCACGATGGATTGGTGTCTTTGCTGAAGGTCACACTGAGCTTCCAGCAGCTTAGGGGTGTCTTTAGGGGTCAGCACTATGGCAGAAGGCATCAAGACCAAAATCAGGAACTCCCAGACTGCCCGCTTTGACAGCTGCTTCCTCAACCAGAACCAGACCAGGAACTGCTGGCAGAACTACCTGGACTCTCACCACTGTGAGAAGGCAGTGACTGCTAAGAGGGGGATGTCTCCGTGTGCTAATGGTACCCGTGTGTGCACAAGTCCCTCTGCCCCATGTCCTGGGTATCAGCCTGGGATGACCGCCTGGTAAAAGGCACATTTTCTGAAAAGATCTGAACTGGCTCCACCCCACCTCCTCTCCCTTTGTCCTTCTCCCCGGGGTGGTGAAGGGGAACCTGGGTACACGGTGATCCCCACCCTGGGATCCTGAATCATGGCTTAACTAATAATAAATACTCATTGGAAGAACAAAGGCTGTGTATGTGTAAAAGAGTTGGGTGATCAGGCTGGAAGCTGGGATGGAATTAGTGCCTTGACCAGTAAGAAGGACTAAATTCAGGGTGGGTTTTTTCTTTTCTTAATTTTTCTTTTAATAAGCTTTGACCACCTCTTTTTTACCAGACAACAGAGTGAGTGATTATACAAAATAACCTCAAGTTCCTGTGTGTGCTAAAATTTATCTGTATGTTCTCCTTTATTATCTGTACAATTTTGAAAAACATGTTTTGAACCACATGAAAATAGTATAATAAAAACTCTTATATACCCATAAAAAAAGATGCTATGATTCCATTTATATGACATTCTTGAAAAGACAAAACTATAAGGATAGAGAATAGATCAAAGAGCTTTCAGGCAATTCAGGGTGTGGAGAGCATTTGACTACAAACAGCAGCACAAAGTCATTTTTTAGGGTGAGAGAAATTTTCTGTGTCTTGATTGTGGTAGTGGCTACATGACTTTATGTAGTTGTCAAAATGCAGAACTGTTCACCCAAAAGATTTCATTTTACTGTATAAAATTTTTTGACAAAAAATTAAAGTTAAAAAATACACTTCAGTCATTTTCCTTGATTGTTTCTATTTAGTATTTGTGCATTTTGAGGCTATGCTGTTTATTCTTATTATGGTTTATAGCTGACAATACTTCCATCAAGGCTTACATAGATCTATGTATAAAATAACATTCTAAGCTATTTGTGTCTTTCCTTGAGTTCTGATTTATCTTACATTAGCATTACTACTCATGTCTCTTTTTGTTTGTGTTTGTCTGATATAACTGCCTGTCCATTTTTTTTGTATCTTTTTTTTCACTTGTAAAATTATTTATTTATTTGTTTGTTTTGATTTACCATGTTATATTAATTTCTGGTGTACAGCATAGCATCCATCTATTTTCTTAACCTTTCCATATTATTTTGCTTTTAGTGTTCCTTTTATATGAAGCGTATGATTGGATTATAGTGTTTATCCTAATGTGACAGTATTTGCCTTTTAAAAATTCACTTAAAGATACATGCACCCCAATGTTCATAACAGTACTGTTTACAGTAGCTAAGACACAGCTAACCCAAGTGCCCAACAACAGACAAATTGTTTAGAAAGATGTTGTATGTATATATATACACACACATACACACGCACAAACACAATACAGCCATAAAAAAAGAATGAAATATTGCCATTTGCAGCAACATGAATGGACCAAAAGAATATTATACTTAGTGAAATACATCAAAGACAAAGACTATATGATGTGGCTTATATGTGGAATCTAAAAAATTATACAAATGAATGTCTATACAAAACAGAAACAGACTCACAGACATAGAGAACAAACTTATGGTTACCAAAGAGGAAGGGACAAATTAGGAGTATGGGATTAACAGATACAAACTACTACACATAAAATAGATAAGCAACAAGGATTTATTGTATAGCATAGAAAACTATACCCAATATCTTGTAATAACCTGTAATGGAATATAATCGTCAAAAAAAACAAATCACTATGCTCTACACTTGAAGCTAATACGATAGTGTAAATCAACTGTGATTTTTTAAATTCTTCTTAAATTTTGATTTTGAAATATCTGCATACAAAGAGTACATATAAATATATGTATATTTATGTATACATGTATATATGTATATAAATATAAACTATATGTGTGATTTGGAGATTGTTAATAAATTGAATATTCACATACTCACCACTTAGTTTAAGAGAAATGACATCATCAGTAACTTTGAAGCTCGGTTTTTGCCCCTTCTGATTACTTTTTCCTCCCTCACTCTCAGGGAAATCCTGTACTGAATTTTGAGTTTGTCTGGTTTTTCCTTTTTTTTATACTTTTGCTTCACACATTTGTATGTTATTTAGTTTTGCCTGACTTTGAACTTTATAGGAATAGAATATACTGTATATATTCTTCAGTGACTTACTCTTTGTATTGCTTAATATTGGTGATGTTCAAGTTGTGGTGTGTGATGCAACCGGGT